TTTTTTGCAAACAAAAAAAACATATGTCAAAAAAAATGTTTTTTTATCAAAAAAATATTTTTTTTCTTTGAAATAATTTTATGGCCTTAATACTAAAAACAAGACATGTTAACTATTTACCTAAATTAATTTGAGAAATAAGACTCCTTATTTTTATTGTTTACATTTCATAGTATATGAGGTTACATCTTTTTATGCGCGAGTTACATCTTTTTATGCGTGAGTTACATCTTTTTATACGTGAGTTACATTTAGACTTGCCTTAACAAGTTACACTTTTGCATACACCTAAGTTAGATTTTCCATCAACGCAAGTTACGGCTCCCTAATCGCTACTAATCTTTTAGCAAGCACTTAGTTGTATGTGAAAATGTCCTAGAATAATTTATCTCACTTAATTAAATTATTCTGTGTGCAATTAAAATCCTAGCGGTCATTAAGGTTACAAATGATATCTATTAAATTATTCAAACAAAAATTATACAATAATCATGTGATTAATAATTCAAGAATGTAATCCTAGATCATAATTAACACCCCTTCATCAATTCTAAATCCCTAGCTAATTAAATCTACTCACAATTCATAATTGAAAGATCAACTGAATTGAGAAGGAAGGAATTAATTGTCAATAACTAAAAAAGGAGAAAGAACTCACAAACAATCCCAGAATATTGAAGTTCCAATGCTGAAAAATAGAAGAAAATTCGTCCACAGGTTGTTTCTAAACTCAGTCTCGCATAAAATACGAGGTTTACAGACTGTTTAAATACAAAAAGTAGCAATTTAGTTGGGCCGAAATACAGCTGTTCAGTCACGCGCATGGCATAATGAGTCCGACAGATGAAACACACAACAACCGTTGTGCACAACGTGCGTGGCAAGGGCGCACAGCGTGCGCGACATCCGGTAGCTTCTCCATGACAATTTCTTCTGCGGACAGCGTGCTCTCTTCATGTGCACAAAGTGCACACCTCCCGTCCGAATTTTGCTATTCTTCTTTCAGCAAATTTGTAGCTAGTTTAGTCCTCTATCCACCACAACTTGAAAAAACTAGAATTGGATCGTACGTCCAATCAAAAGATATGAATGAAATGGTGTAAGGTCTTATCTTGAAATCTCAATAGCGATAATCTGACTTCCTCGTCTGTTTTCACCTCAATCTTTTCACATTCTCTTTATGATGTATTCATATGATTTGTACGCATTGAGTTATATTTCGTATGAAACTTGAATAGTTTCGTTTGAATAGTTTCATTTGGATATTCCCACGAAAAGATATGCTCAAATGATTGAGAGAGAGTTATGCTAATTCGAGGTTCCGAGATGTGTGATGGTCCGAATAGCCGTTATCATGCTCCTTGAATGCAAGTTCGAATACCAACTCGATCCTTGACTTTATTTGACTTAAATTTCACTCCTTTGATGCCCCATAGCCCTTCATTAAATATTGCTTCTCAACGTCTCTTAAAAGTGCTCTAGATCTTCACAAATAATTCTCCAACACGGGTGCATGTCGGGCTCAATTTCCTGATTTTCACTCTAAACTACCAAAAATAAACCAAAATCTGGTAAACTATGAGTTGAGCTAATTAAGTGCTTTGTGACATATTTAGGTTAGGAAAATTGACAAATTTCAATCCCAACACGCATTAAATGCGTGTTGAAATATGGGCTTAATTATCAATCACGTACATATAGAATACACATCCAAAGACTCCCAATTACAATTCAACACTTCTTCCTTCAAGCTTCATCACATAACCCAAACCTATAAATAATTAAATATTGTAACAAATACTCACTTAGTAATGCTTTGTTTTCCACACTTTCCTTTTTATAAAGTATTTTTTGTTTGCTACACTTTCCCTTTTTGGTATGTTTTTTCTTTAAAAAATACTCAATAACACTTAATTAGTTGGAACAACCTTGCTCACTCATTTCATTACCTTTATTCAACTAAAAGTTGACAGCTTTGAAGATTATTTGAAAACAAGAATAATGACAACCATCACTTCCTCACCAACTCAAAGCAAACAAACGAATAACTAACTCCCCCAGTTCCATAAAACTTGGCCAAAATTGGGTTGCACGTAGATTGATAGAGTAAAAATTATGTGATTGATATGGAGTATTTGTGCAGAGGAGAGAGACATAACTTTAGCTACACATTTGTCACTTTAAAGGGAAATGACAAATTTTTTTGGGACGTCCAAAAAAGGAAAGTTGGTCAAGTTTTATGAGACGGGGGTAGTATTTAATAAGATACTAAGTTTATTTTAAAAACCTAATACAGATTATTAGAAAGGTATATGGAATTTAAAAAACTGATACGCGAATGACTAGCGGAATGAGATAGTGAGTTGCAAAAGATATTTGTTACTCTGTATGTTGTTGTTGACCGTAGTTGATAGCAGGTAATGCCATATTTCAAAACATTAAATCAAAACGCTGCTATTTGCGGCATATCTATTTCAGCGGTTCCGATAAAAAAGCCACGTCAAACAACCATTTACCAAACGACATGGATCAGTGTATCACTGATTAAAATCCCCCCAAAAGAAAAAAAAAACTGCTATTTTAACTGATCATGAAACGCGATTTTTCAAACATCCCCTTTAATTACTTATATCGTACTATATTTTATTTTTTGCTAAAGTGATATCGGATATTTGTACGTAGCCCGACCTAACCTTTACAGATAAATTTTACCAAGAACATTGACCCAAAATCAATTCTTAGTGTTAATTACCGCAACATTCACAATCAAATGGTACACATTTTCCTGTTAGGACATACTATGTACCTTTTAAACTAATGTGCTCATAAACAGAATACAATAGTAATATTAATAATAAATCTAAAATGAAAAGAATAATAAATCACATACACATCAATTATTTAAATTCCCCTTTCTCGTCTTCTCACTAAAATATTAGAAAACACATTTTTTTTTCTTTACATAAAGTGTTATTAATAAATTCAGTAAGTAATTCTCAGCCTCTATAAATATGTACTATTTCAATTCACATTAATGTGACACTATCGGGGCATGCCTCGAGTGGTACATTAGTTCTGAAGTAAATAATAATTTAGGAAACAAACCATCGGTATTAGCCATGTGATTTTCTACAAATGAAAAATGAGAATATAATACTCTTTCTGTTCCACGAAATTTAGTCAAATTGATTTTTGTATTTTGATAATTATACAATCTGGTAAAGATGTCTTCTAGTTAAAGTACGGAGTATGAGATTGTTTTCAAAAATATTAATGAAATGAAACTTATTTATAAAATTATGAATAATGGTTATTACCATAGTATAATCTCATAGTAAGGTAAGTGTAAAATTTGAACCTTAGTTCGTATAACTAAATTATCAGTTAGTACGTACACTTATACATTTATGATGTTTTTTACTTGGACATATCTCAATCTCAAACAAGACAAAGCTAGACTTCAATTGTGAAATACTCTCTTTGTCCCAATTTGATGGTCTGGTTGCGGTTTATGAGATTTGACCAACGATAAAGCAAACCGATTTGTATGTACATTCAAATTATTTTTAGTAAATAAATTTTTCATATTCAAAAACTACATTAAAAGTTTTGTAAAGTTGCTAAAATGAAAATGAAATTTAATAAAAGTTTCAGTCAAATGAAATTTATTTGTAAAGTACTCCGTAAAAGATTAAGATTTATTTGTGTAATAAATGGTTTGTAAAGTAAAGAATTAAGATTTATTTGTGTTGATGAAGTGAAGTAACATGATCAAAGATTAATAAAAGTTTTGCAAAGTAAAAGTTTTGTAAAGTAACATGAAATTTAATAAAAGTTTTGTAAAGTAAAAGATTAAGATTGATTTGTGTTGATGAGGTGAAGTAACATGATCAAATTCCAACCGAGGTAGTTAAACTAACATCGACGTACTACTACGAACGTAGTACTACCTCCGTTACTTAAAACTTTGTCAATTTTCCTTTTTTGGATCTCCTACTAACTATGTCACTTTCTCTTTTAAGTAAATTAAAGAATTTTTGGTTCCAGTTAATTCTTACTCCTCTACACAAACTTTAACCATACAGTTTTTACTTTATTAATTCTCGTGACGGTCAAACTTGACAAAGTTTTAAGGGAGAGAGGAATATTAAATTTCAGTCAAAAAGTTAAAAAAAATATGCTTGGTTACGCAAGGGCATATGTATACTTGTAGAGAAAATTACGTAAGTGCATATGTATACTTGTAGAGCAAATTGACATGGCTAAGACAAAAACATAGGCTTTTTTCTAAAATAGGACTCAATGTTTAATTTTTCCTTAATAGTACTAACCATTCCATTTTTATCCCTAATTGAATTAATTAACTAATTAACTCAACTAATTGCCCCTTAGTTTTCTTGCACAACCAATGCAGTCCGTCGGTGGCAGGGCAGTCCGGTGGTGACGGCAGTGGTGGCGGATTCCGGCTGCCGCGGCGGCGGCAAGAAAATAACAGACATTAAATAGACAATAAATAGATAATACGTAGACAATAAATAAACAATAAATTCTGATAAACACCATTGTGGCGGCGGAGAACTCCGGCGGCGGCGGATGCGGCGGCGGCAGAATCTGGCAGTCTGCCAAATATTTTTTGGAATTTTCCGGCGGTGCTCCGGCAGCGGCGGCGGCAGTCGGAGGTCTGGCGATAGGCGGCTGGCAGCAGTCCATAGGCAGCAGTGGGGGTATTTTGGTCCAATCACACATAAAAAGTCCTATTTAAGAATGTTTAAAGTAATTGATCATATTCTTAAAAAGTCCTATTTAAGAATGTTTAAAGTAATAGGTAAATCTCCCATACTTGTATATACTCCCGATCGACATCCATGGATTAAACTTATATCGTAGCCGGCTTAGTGCATCGATCTGATATATATAGCAGGCTGAACGTACAAAAGAAATTAAGCTCATCAACACAAACTTATATCGTAGTTGGCCTAGTGTTATGGCGGAGTTATCCAGATTATTGCTTCTTTTGGTTGCGGCCGCCATGGATGCGGTTATCAGGTGCAGGTGGCCGGAGAACCTGACCTACCCTGACGACAATATAATGAATGAGCTGAAAAGTGGTCTGATATTGACGCCTAATTCGTCGGCCTACGGCTTATTCAGTGGAACCCATCCGTGCAGCTGGACATCTATCGTGACATGCAATAAAGAAGATGACGTTGCGGGGAGTAGTCTCCGGGTTACACGCGTCCACATGCCGTATCTGGAGGATGCCGGCGGGAAGCTGCCGGCCGATCTTGGAAACCTGACCAAGTTGCAAGTCTTCAACGCGTCCAACAACAACCTCACCGGGCCGATTCCCAGATTTGCCGAGTCGCTCAGCTTTCTCTTTCTTAACGCTAACAACTTCACTTCTCTGTCACCATGGCAGCTCTTCCACTCCATGCCCAATCTGTATTCCGTTCGCCTGCAAAACAACGCCCAGCTTGCCCCGTGGGAGATCCCTCAGAGCCTGACCAACTCTTCAAACCTCATTGAATTCTACGCCGCCAATTCCAACCTAGGTGGGCACATCCAAGCAGACTTCTTCACCCACGACAATTTCCCAAACTTACGCATCCTTGACCTCTCCAACAACCACTTATCGGGCAACATTTCTGCTCTGCACAACTTCACAGGATCCCTTAAACTACTCTCGTTGGGCGGCAACAACCTTTCCGGAGAAATACCCGACTTATCTCGCCTCCAGGAATTGATGCGTCTGGATGTTTCTGACAATCAGCTTACTGGTGTTATCCCGCCATCGCTTGAAGCTTTGACCAATCTTGGATTTATGTATTTTTCTAAGAATCAACTTACTGGTTCTATCCCTCAAAACCTCACAACCACACTTTTCGGACTGGATCTTTCTGATAATCAGCTTACCGGTGTTATTCCGTTATCCTTCGAAGCTTTGACCAATCTTGAATATCTGAATCTTTCTAAGAATCAGCTTACGGGCTCTATCCCTCAAAACCTTACAGGTTTGACCGCGCTATGGAAACTGGACCTGTCTAATAATGATTTTAGTGGCTCTATCCCACAAAACCTCAAAGACTTGCCCGCACTGCAGTTTCTGGATCTTTCTAATAATAATTTTAGTGATCCTGTCCCTCCATTTGATTATTCTCGTGTGAAAGTGATTCTATGTGGGAATCACTTTTTATCAGGTGAAATTGGGAAACCATGTTAGGGGTGAGCACAAGATTGATGATGATAAAGCTACAATGATGGCCGGATGGTGTTTGTTTTAAGGAGTTCTTAGCTTCATCACTTTTATCCGTTGCATTTGTAATAAGAAGTACTACCTCCATCAGGGAATTATATATCTTCGGGCACGAGTCTTAAGATAGTGTGAAATGTGTGGTGGAGAATTGTGCAGAGGAGAGAGAAATGTGTAAGAATGGTTGTGAACCATAAATTCTTTGCAAAAAAAGGAAAGAGGGGATAAATTTAAGACGGATCGAAAAGGAAAAAATGAAGATAATTCCAGGACGGAAGGAGTATATCTTTTTAATGTACTTGTATCGTGAAGAGCTATATCTTATTGTGCTTCTAATATTACATCGGTTGCCTTTCTATGTCATTCACAGATTTAAGTTCTTCGATTTCTTGTTTTTTGATATCCCACTGTTTTTGGGTGATCCTCATCCATTTTTTATTGATAAGTTTTTTACTACATCCGTTCCTTAAAATTTTGTCAAAGTTGACCGGCACGAAGAATAATAAAGTAAAAACTGTGTGGTTGAGGTTTGTGCAAAGGAGAGAAATAATAGAAACCACAAAATAATTGATTAAAAGGGAAAGTGACAAAGTTTTTTGGGACGTCCCAAAAAGAATAGATGGCAAAGTTTTAAGGGACGGATGGAGTATTATCTTATTATTAACTCTAGCTACCTATTTCTAAGAACCTCACGCTTTTGACCAATCTTAAGAGATCGAGCATGTTTGCATTGCCGAAAAAATAAGGTCACCGTTACTTTTTTATTATTAGTGTGAGTTTTTATCATTTTTAGATCTGAGATTATTATTTCTATGACACTTTTGGTATCCAACTCTATTTTTTCCCTTTTTTACCTTCGACTATATCTTAGAAATTTTTCATATTAATTAGTAACACAAATAATAACTCAATCCACTATTACTACATTAGTAACACAAAGTGCCAAAGCCAATAAATTAACTTAGCACAATCATATTTGAATATAGGAAAAAAGGTCAAATAAGTCCTCGAACTTTCATAAAAAGATCAAATAAGTCTTTATATAGGAGGTTCTGTCCGGTCATTGCCATTTGGGGCAGTTCCCGATGGATTTTTTTGATGAATTTTTTTGAGCATCTTATTCATTAAGTCAAGTTTACTCATACCAAATTTAAAGTAACAACTCAATCGGAAAGGCATTCAAATGAATTCTTGAAGATAACTACGCTTTTAACTGCGCACTTATCTTCAAGAATTCATTTGAATGTCTTCCCGATTGAATTTTTAGCTGGAATTTGGTATGAGTAAACTACACTTAATGAATAAGATTCTCAAAAAATTTCATTAAAAAATTCCATCGGGAACCGCCCCAAATGGCGACGGGCGGACAGAGCCTCCTATATAAGGGCTTATTTGACCTTTTTATGTAAGTTCGGTGATAGCCGTTATATTTACTTGTGTTTAACATAAGTATTTATAAGTATTTGTTGAAGAAAAGAATAGAAATTGGGAAAATATCTTGAGAATGAGAGTTAGAGCATTAAACATTGTGATGAACGGCTTTTGGGACCAAAAGGATGACGTTTTGCCCATCATTTGAGTATAACGTATTGTAGAGAACTCTAAATCACTCCATTCGAATTTCATGTGAATGGTAACTCAATAAGGTACAAATGTTATGAAGACATCATGGCCAGAATAGGAAAGGAACAATACTCAATCAACCGATAAAGTCAGATGTTGCTGGTGGGATTTCAGGGTGCATACCTCTCAGTGTTTTATCCATATCTGTTGATTAGTTGCATAAAATCACGTCATTAAAGTTTTGTTGGATAAAAGACTTCATTATCTACAACTTTGGTGAAGGAATCATGTCCAAATTCGTAGCGGAACATCTCCAAAATCCCGGTACAAAAACCGACCCTTTTTGATCCATTTCGGAGGAAGAGAAATGAAGTACATTTTTGGGCGCAGCAACCGGCGCCGGTCGGTCTTGAACCGGCGCCGGTCGGAACGTTTTTTCTCGCACAAATTAGCCTGTTTTCAACCGGGGCCGGTCGGGACACAACCGGGGCCGGTTGGGGCGATTTCTGCATAAAACAGGCCAACGTGCAAGAGGATTTTTGATGGGAAAAGGTCATCTTCCTCATTTCTTGATCAAATATTGCTCCACACCTGATTGTTGGGTTCGAATAGACTAAAAGATGTCATTCTTTAGCCTATATAAAGCCCTCAATTCATCATGCAAACACATTCCATTCCATAGATTAATTCTTAGCTTTTATATTTTTGTTCTTGGTATTTTCTTCAAGTTCTTGAGGAGGGAAGTTCATCCTCCGAAATCATTGGTGTTTAGGTATTATTTCCTTTGTAATTTCATGTTCCATTACATTTATTATTGTATTGTGATTAATATGAGCATTAGAGGCTAATTTCTTAGCTAAGGCTAGGGATGAACTTCTATGCCCACTAGGTGTTTGATAAAAGTTCTAAACCAATAAATTGTGATTTATCCTTTATATATTGATTGTTTATGACTATGGTGTACAACATAGAAGTATGTTAAATTTAGTTTATACTTGCAATTAACGTTGAAGTCTAAACTATGAACACTAAAGGATAAACATATATAGTACCGAGAATAGAAATATATCCGGTCTTATATGATACGGGTGTGATGTCTTGATATTCAACGGGGTTTTCGGTAGATGAATGTAAGCCGTAACGGGACTTACACGTAACGAAAACCACGCTCTCGCTGCCTTAACCGGGGTTGAGAATATATTAGCGACATCGTATTCATAATTATTGGCAAAGAACTAATATTCAACCCTATTTAAGCATTTAAGTGATTCCCGAAGCCTTAGTTGTTGTTATCATTTATCTTGAACTCAAAGTTAGTTAACGATTATCTTGTTGAACAAAAAGTGAAAAAACCAAAAATATAAAACACAAATCAAAATCCCTGCACTTTATTCAATTCTTCATTTAACGTTATCTACTCTCGGACTTGAATTAAACAACGTTTCCTTGTGGATTCGACCCGGTATTTTACCGGAATTTATTACTATATCGGCACTTGTACACTTGCAAGTTCAAACCGATCAAGTTTTTGGCGCCGTTGCCGGGGAAACGGTCTTGTTTAATAAAGTCCAAAGGAAAAAAAAACAATCACTTAAAAATCCTGAATTTATTTTACTCTTCTTCACTTGATCTTGGAAAGGTTTATTTTTGTGTGTGTAGATATTCCTTTGTGTTTGCATGCACTTGAGAAGTCAAGGTTCAAAAAAAAAGAACTTGCAAACACATTAGGAAGGAGCAAAAAGCCACAAATATGATGCCCACACTAAACGAGAGGAAGAGACCCGTTGTTGCAACTTCCCCGTCTTGCATTGTACTAAGCGAGGAGGCAAGAGACTATGAACTAAAGCATAGCTACTTCAACGCTATGCCTCAGTTTCATGGGCATTCGGGGGAAAATCCACTGAACTTTATCACGGAGTTCTATGGATTTATTCAAGGGATTCCAAGGAATAAGCTCGCCGAAGACTATCTCAAACTCAAATGCTTCCCCTACACTCTCAAAGGGGCGGCAAGAGGATGGTTTCTAGAGCAAACTCCAGCGAGCTACACAACGTGGGAAGGTATTTACAATGCCTTCATGTCTAAATACTACACACCCACCATGACTCAAGAGCTTAGGCAACACATTTTCAATTTCAAACAACAAAATGGTGAGCTCTTTCAAGACGCATGGCGGCGTTTCAAATCATTGCTAAGGGAATGTCCACACCACCGCATTCCCCTTGATCTTCAAATTGACACGTTCTACAATGGTTTGAATGCACCTTGTCAAGCCATTGTAGACAACCGAGCCGAGGGCTACATTGGAAACAAGAATGAAACTCAAGCACTCCGAATCATTGAATCCATTGCCTCAAATCCCCAACTTCAAGGAGACGATTACAAGGTGGTCGGGATGAATGAAATCTCTATCACAAACGAGATCAACAAAAGGCTTGAACAAATGGAGTCAAAAATTGAGCAGAAATTTCAAACGGCCCTTCAAGCCGTATTGGGAGGTGTCAAACAGATAGCTAATGTGGAGAGCATTCAAAACCCGGAAGGTGATTTATCTCAACATCTTGAGGAGGTAAATTTCATGAACTCTTATGGGAACCGGGGAAACAATAATCCTTCTAATCAACAAAGGTGGAACCAAGGGAGCAATTGGAAGCCACAACCCCAATCCGAAGCACCTAATTTTGGGCAGTCTAAGGAGATCACCATGGAAGATATGATGCAATTCATGTCCAAAAGCATGGCAAACATGAAGGCTCAAAATGAAGAGAACCATAGTAGAGTGGAGGCATCCATTGGGAATCTCCATTCTCAATTCACCAAGTTGGATCTTCGCTTCGAAGATCAAAATATGAAGCTCAACCAACGCATCGACACCATCGAGCAATATACCAAGGCGTCCATCCGGAATCTTGAAGTTCAAATGGGGCAACTCGCCAAAAAAGTGAGTTCTAGAGAGCAAGGTAAATTCCCTACAACTACAGAGGTCAATCCGAGGGAGAGCGTCATGGCCATTACCTTAAGAAGCGGGAGGCAAACAGAGGACCCCAAGATGCCGGAGAGGAGAAGTACACCGTTACCACCTATAATGGATCAATATGTTCCCCCCATCCCCCATCCACAAAACTTGAAGAAGAAAGGAGATGATAAGAAATACAAGAAATTTCTTGATATTTTCAAGAAATTGAGCATCAACATACCTTTTGCGGAAGCCATTGCGGAAATTCCATCATATGCAAAATTTCTTAAAGGTATAATCTCCAACAAAAAGAGGCTAGAGGAATTCACAACAGTGGCACTAACGGAGGAATGTAGCGCCATTATTCAAAACAAACTTCCTCCAAAACTAAAAGACCCCGGAAGCTTCACTATTCCATGCTCTATCGGAAAAATCGGGGAGGTAAGGTCTCTTTGTGACCTTGGTGCCAACATAAATCTTATGCCCTACTCCCTATTTAAAAAGCTAAGTGTGGGGGAACTCCAACCAACAACGATCGCCTTACAATTAGCGGATAGAACAATCCGCTATCCAATAGGCATCATGGAGGATGTTCTTGTCAAAGTAGGAAAATTCTACTTTCCGGTAGATTTTCTTGTTTTAGACATGGAAGAGATGGAGGTTCCCGTCATCCTTGGGAGATCATTTTTTGCCACTTCCGCAGCCGTCATTGATGTACAAGCAGGCACCGTAAGGCTAAGAGTGGAAGGAGATGATGAAACATTCCATGTGTGGAAGACACAATCCATTCAAACTCAAAACATGGAGGACAACACAAA